TGTCCTTCTTGTAGTGAGGGGCCCAAAACTGAACACAGTACTTGAGGTGCCGCCTCACCAGTGCCGAGTACAGGAGCAGTATCACCTCCCTGGTCCTGCTGGCCACACTATTCCTGGTACAAGCCAGGATGCCATTGGCCCTCTTGGCCACCTGGGCACACTCCTGGCTCATGTTCAGGTGGCTGTCAACCAACACCCCCAGGTCCTTTTCAGCCAGGCAGCTCTCCAGCCACTCCTCCCCAAGTCTGTAGCATTGCATAGGGTTGTTGTGACCCAAGTGCAGGACACAGCACTTTTAGCCTTGTTGAATCTGAGACAGTTGGCACCGGCTCAATGATCCAGCCTGTCCAGGTCCCTCTGTAGGGCCTTCCTACCCTCCAGCAGATTGACACTTCCACCCAACTTGGTGTCATCTTTGAAATCTTTGTAAGTCTTACATATCTTTAGCTAAGTCTTGTGAGTCACACATGTATAACAAAATAGAGGAAAAAGTTTGGGAGAAAATACATCTCTCTGAGGAGCCATTTGGGTATGTACTTTTGAGGCTTTAAAAGGGAGTCCACTGGAATTTTTGTCAGTGTTGTTTTGCTCCCTAAGGAAAGATAAAAACCACGTTTACATGTGTTTGGCATGTTGAGTCTCTATGCATAAGCCCAAATTCATGGAGTTATGTCTGATTCATTCTTTTCGAGGGAGGGGGAGGAAACCTGTTCTGACAGTTTGCTTTTTTTCTCATGGATGCTTCATACCAAGTCCTATCTCCTTTGTTCAGAGTTGTACCTGAGTGATGAGGAGTTAAAAAAACTACATGACTTTGAGGAACAGTGTGTGGAAAAATATTTTCATGAGAAGAATGAAAGCCTGAGTTCCAGTGACAGTGAAAGGATCCGTGTGACAACAGAAAGGTGTGTTTTGCTGCAGATTTGTGCTCTTTGTATACATTTGTCATATAAAAAGACTTTGATAAGCTAATGCTTTCAGAACAGGTTATGGCCACTGTGAACATGAGGAGCAATAACGTGCATAGGCCTTGCTAATGTGATGGAAATGTAATATATCTGTTTGAACTGCATGGCAGGCCTGGCTGGGAAGCCTTGCGGGCAGAATTGTATCCCCAGATGTGTGCAGTGTGCAGGTGGTTAAAAGGGCAGAGTATGGTGTTGCTCAGTTTCACTTCTGCAGACCAGGTAGCACCATGAAAACATGCCAGAGTATGGCATACAATGCATATTTTTATTTAAAGGCTTAGCAGTGTAGGAACGCTGTAAGAGAATTGCTTGTGATTGAGTATAACTGCTGTTTACAGAAATAACCATATAACCATTGCAGCATTATCTGCAATATAGTGTCTTGGTTTGCAAAATGTCAATACACAACTGTCAAGGGGGTTTCAAAACTCTCAGTATTGGTCTAATTTAGCTTTCTATTGAAATCAATGGCACCCCTGCCATTAAGTTTAATGGGAAGAGTTGAAGAAAGTGAGCACTATAAAAAGTCTTACTGAATGCCAATACTGATCTCATCTAATAAATTTGTTTTGGCTAGAGAAAGATAGCCTCTTAATCTTTGCCTGTTCATAATCTTATTTTCTGCATACTAAAAGAAAACACACAAGCAAAATGAATGTCCCCTGTAAAAGAAATAAAATAAGTAGCTTTGTTCAAAAGCTGCAGAATCAATTACAGCAAGAAGATTTCATTTAGTGCATAAATATAGATCTGGAAAGGATTTTTTTTTTCTGAGTGCAAAGGTGAAACACACTTCATAGCATTGCATAACATTAAAACAAGAAATTAATTTAGGTGAATAAAATATTTTGTAACACTGGTCTTTGATTTTATTCAGCTATTGGTTAAATACCACATCTTTTAGTTACTCAGTGACAAAGGAAAGGAGCAACTTTTGCATATTGCCTGCAGCTAGTTTATCATTGTCTTAGTGATAGAGCACCAGAGAGAGTATCTTTAGGAGATGTGAAGATAATGATTTGGTTAAAATTGTAGCATTCCAGGCCAAGAAGTTCTTGCACTGTTCACTGGGGATTTGAAGACCATTAAAAAAGGCTTTGGTTTTTGGGCAGTTGAATTTTACCTGAAGATAACTGATGGCATCAGACATACAGAATCTGTTCCCAGAGGCCAAATAGGTTGTTGGGAAGACCCTTTTCCCAGCAGGGTCCAGTATTTGAAAAATGCAAGAGTATCTGTAGGTTTGTGTGAGCCTTGTCCTTCTCATGCTTGCACAAGAAATGTAGAAATACATGATGACTGGCTGACAAGAAGTATACTTTACAGCATTTTACATTTACAGCAATAGCCAATGCAGCATTTCCAAAGCTGTGTCCTGCTGTCCATTGTTTAGTAGTTCTATGGCAAGGAATGGACATTAGTAGGAAAACAGCAGTTTTTAAAATAGATACCCCTTAGGCAAAAAACCTGTTCCCTTAACGGTCACTGGCTGTTTGCCCAGTAATCTGAATGACATATTGTAAGTTTGGATGGGTTTTGTCAAATATAGGTATTCACGGGAATGGAAGTCACCATTAAAAAAAAAAATAAAGGGCTGTTTAAACACTGACTTTTTGAAATGTGTTAATGGCTTCCTTCATCACCTGGCAAACAGAAGTAAGGATCTGTGTTTGGTATTTTAATTATCTTTTCTTTTTCCACCTAGAGTGGAGGAGATGTTTCTGCAGCTTAAAGAAGTGCATGAGAAGGTATTTTACATCAAGGAGTCTTTACTCTCCCTGGACAGCCAGCTAGGACATTTACAAGACCTGTCTGCCTTGACAGTGGACATCCTGAAAGTGCTTTCAGCTGTAGACACCTTGCAGGTGGAAGGAGCCTTACTGGCTGACACAGAACATCGAACCTGTAGGAAGTTGCCCCATAGCTGGAGCAATGTGCTTTATTCCAAGACCTTGAGCAGCCTAGAGTGTTTGTATGACAAGAAGTACCACTACTACAGCATGCCACCCTCCCTCTTACGGAGCTTGGTAAGGAGTCAGTGGCCATCGGAGTGCAAAGAACACATATTGAGGACTGAGAGTAACAAGGTGGTAGAAGACAGCTCTCAAAAGATAGAAATAGAAAGTGACACACTCACTTCGGGAGTATCCTCTGAGACTAAGTCAACCCCTAGGTATGGACAATTTTTGTTGGTGCCCCCTGACCATCAGGGAGGGTCTTTCTCTGAGGATGTCACCTTAAATTTGTCCTTTTTGAGCACTCCTGCCAAGTACAGGGACAATGTATTCAGAGATGAACTGCAAAGTAGCATTGTGGTGCAGCAAAACTTGCAGAGTGTCAACCTCATTGGAAAAGAGCCAGAAGATTGTCAATGGAGCCAGAGAGATTTTGTTACTCATTTGCCATCAGAAAACACTAATGCCATAGAGGCTGATCATCCTCTTGATCTCCAGCCATCTCTGGGTATTGAAGAGAGTGCAGCACCCTCCTGCGATGACAGGGAAGAAACTGAAGGTGGTTATGTGAACTGGGGATTCTCTGAAGGTGATGAAAAAGGGGTTTTCAGCTCAGGGAAGAAACAAAAGAAGGCCCTGTGTATACATTCCACCTATAACAGTGACTGCAATTGCACGGGTAGTTCTCCCAGGCATGTCCAGATAAGAGAATCAAAGTCCTTTTCCTACAACTCCGACAGGTCACGTCACAGCAGCATCATCTCTCAGAACAAGCTAAAACGAAGCACCTCCTTCTGGATCAGCCCACTCTGGAGGGACTGGAGTTTCTGCAGGAGCAACAGCTTACAGTCCACTAAGAAAGAGAAAAGAGGGAAAACCTGCAAGGCCATAGGTGGTAACTATAAAACACTACACCTGTACAGTATCTTTTACTGGGGAGCCGAAGGTATTATAAAAATGTTTCCTTTGTACCCAGGAGGTATTAGCAGCAGTTGAGGGTAGTAGCAGAGAGTTACTCCCTCACTTCCTTTGTGCTGGGTCTGACTGCTGTAGGGAATTTATGAAATGTGCCTGGTATCCAACTACACCAGATCTGTGTGTCAGCCACCCTGATTCCTATGGCTGTGGCTACACAGCCAGGGTGACAGAGGGACTGTGCTCACTCTGGGGAAGTCTCCTGCTCTGGGGATGCAATGCAAGAGTTGCAGGAGCCAAAATAAATTACACAGTCCCTAAGGGATATATTAGCAGTATCATAGGTCAGATGGATGCATGGAGAATGAAGAGGTATACATTTTTATAGCCAGTTTAAAACCCTCCCTTGTCTACCACCAAGTTTGCTTACCAACAGCTAAAATATAGCAGATTCCAGTTCTTAGTATGAATAGTATGAGATGATGGATAACATTTGTTGTTTTATATCTTGTGATGGTGCACATTTTTGCACTGAACTTTGTGAGTATTAGCTTTGGGTGTCACAAGTCTTTCTCAGCTTGCTTTGGAGATCTGCCAACTCTCCGTCTTATCAGATCTTCTTTTAGTAAACGAAAGCTCTGTAGCTTAATGGTGTTTTTTGACTCTTTAGAGTCTTTACCAGCCAGTGAGCTACACCACAGTGAGGCAACAAAAGCAAAACAACAAAACGGAGACAGAAAGTCTGGGAGAGGAAAGAAGAATCAAAAACCCCTTCAGGTGCCGGTATGTGCAAATGCAAGAGAATCACATATCCCATAGCTGTCTTTTTCATTCATTAAGAGCAGTTCTGCAGTGTGGCTTAGTTGAAAATGTATGCATTTAAAATGCTGCACACAAATTGGGGCGTCTTTTTTGTGTGTCTGGCTTGGTTTAATTTCGCTTTTGTTTGAATGTGTGGGATTTCAATTGCGAACATGTTGAAGTCTATGGACTTTGCTAGATAGTATACAAGGAGTGTTATTGATTTTACACAGAAAGGAATTAATCCTTGCACTTTAGCTGGCAGGAGGACTTGGGGAGGCTTCATGTGCTCTAGGATAGACTGAAGGAGTGGTGAGCCACATACAGGCAGTGTGCAACTGTAAACAAGCAAGCCAGGCCTTGTAATGTTGTCTCCTGCCTGCAAGAGTCCCCCAGTGTTTTCTCTGAATCCGTCAGACATTTAGCACATTGCAGACAGCATATTGATTGTGTCATATGTGTGGGGCAACTTTTATAACTGTATGTATGTGTACATGTATAAAAATCTATTTATAAAGTTATAAAGACATTTCCAGGATCTTTGTCAGCTGGAAAGAGTTATCTCTGTTTAAGGAGATGAAAGCTGAAGATTGACTTGTTTACATAAGATGCTCAGGTCAGCAACAGATCTTAGACTTGAACTTTGAGACTTAATACTGCTGAAGGTATTCTGAGGGACTTGGAACTTTGTTTTAAAAAGCTGTAGTGCTAGATCTTTCATCAGTAGTACTTACTAGACAAAAGTAATGTGTCTTCTGCAACTTGTAACAAAAATGAGAAAATCTGTTTCTCAGTTGGGAGCGAGTTCAGTCATTGGCATTTCAGTGACGCTCTGAAAGGCCATATCATCGTCTGTGAGAGGAACTGCAGAGGTGCTAGTCTTCCTATAAATCGCGTGTCATTTTGTCTGTGTCTTGCCAGGTGATTAGAGTGGATGATTGTCCCCAGAACACCCAAGTGAGCTCAGAGCCCGCAGAGATCAATGTCTGGGATGAGCAAGAGAGACACAGCAAGAACTGGCTCACTGTGTCTAATTTCAGTCAGCTAAGTATGTGATATTTTGCAGACAGTGAAATTCAGAACAGCTTTTGAAAAGAAGCAGTAAATAAAAAGTCACAAATTCAAAGCGTCATCAACTGCTTTCACCTCATGGCATAATTTTTACAGAATTAGAATTAGGCTGCAGTCACACACAACTTGGTTATTTGCTGTGTCACTGCAGAGGCAAAAGGGGCATAGGTTGGATGGAAGGTCAGTTAAATCTTTCCAGGAGTGCTGCCTGTCTCACATAGGAGATGGTAAAGTACTGATCCTCAGAAATAAGTGGGAAGCAAGGAGGATGATATCCTTGTCTTCTCTCCTGAGGTGTCTTCTAAAGCAGCATCCTGGCTAATTGCAAAAATAAACTCTCTCGTGAATTTCTCAGGGCATTTACACTCACAGGCGGTGCTGCTATACTGTATCTGCTGGCAGATCCTCTGCATGCATTATTCATTACTCATTGCTCAGAAACACATCCTCCAAAGGGAATAAATGAATTCTGTATCATCTCTGTTGGAATGAAAAGGGAATGGCATTCTTACTCTTCTTTTAGTAATTCTCCAGCTCTTTCCTTCTCAGAAATCCTTTGCATAGTTCATCTTATCTTTCAGCTTTGCTGTGATGCGGCTCACTGGCTTCATCCTGTGAGCTTCTGGGAGACACACCAGGGAATGCTGTGACTCAGCACAGCATGGTCTGAGAAGGGCTGCACTCCTCCAAAATCTGCTGACAGAGAACGGAAACAGTCCATTTTAACCCTATGATATTCTGTTATTGCTCTTATAGCCCATTACCTGTTTGCTGGGGCAATATGGTATATAGGTGTTTAGTTTGTAGCACTGCATAGGTGTTTAGTTTGTAGCACTAGGGCTGTTCATTTACACTCTGGAAATAGCTGACACCTGCTCTTTTGGCTAGGTTTGGAACGTCTCAGTTACATGCACCAGAAAATGAAAAATCAAGACATCGGTAGGCATACCATACCATTCTGTGATTACCTGAGGCATTCTCGAGAGGTAAGACCTAAGATTACACATCCTAGTCCATAGTTTTGGCTGGGATGAGCCCAGGGTAGCTCTACTGACGTCCCTGGACTTGCCACTATAGGTTCTTTGTCATGAAATACCTCTTGAGAGATGAGGAACTTTGTTGTCTGCCGGCACAGCGTATGTGTGCGACTAAATGAATAATTTAACTGCTGTTAACACTCTATTAAGATTATTGAAGTAGGATATTAAACTATTGAGTCATGGAGTGGTTCTGAGTATGAAGAAGTTGGTCAGAAATGATGCATGTGTTGATGTTTTATTAGGCAATGAGTGAGCACACAGCTTGGTCTTGAACCTGTGGGCAGAATTGGTTAGCAGAGTGAAGTAAATTTTGGAAAGTTGGCTATATAGCCCTTAATCTGTCACACAGAGATAGTTATTTCTTGCAAAGTGAGAGTTAAATATTGATAACAATTGCAGAGTTTAGATTTCTTAGCCAGTGGCTTATCAACACCATATCTTATTATTTATCAGAATTAATTTGCAGCACCGTAATGTAAAGGTCCTATGTCTATGTAAATCAACATAGGCTCATTGACTTCCATGGAGCTAGACCAATTTGTATTTCCTGAAGACTGAGGGCAGGAATCTGGATTATAGAAACTTCTATCTGTTTTAAAATGGTGTAGCTAATGGAAGAAAATGTATCTTTCACTACATTGCGTAGGGGTATCTCAGAGGTATGAAAGGAAATGAACAAAGAATAAATTAAGAAAAGGAACTGTGAAATAATCCTTCCTCTTCCTTTTTCAATGGCACCCTTTTTCCCTGTTTTACTTCTAGCACTCTTGATTATTAAAATGGTGATCTTTAAAAGCCTGGCCTATTTTTCACTATAAATGCTATGAGTTGCTTTTTTTTTTTTTTTTTTTTTTTAAAGGAAAAAAAAAAAACAAAATAAATTTTCGGGTTTT